CCAAATAACTCATTTTGAGTGAAATTAAAAAAACTTTTTTTGCCGATCTTAATAGCCTACCTACTATAAAATATATACCGGGTGTTGCATCGTCGGACGGGACATAGGAAATCCCATGTAAATTTTAATTGGGTCAATTATTGGCTTCCTATCTATTATTGGCTAATCAAAAATAGATATTTTTGATTAGCTCGTTTACGAATTATCGCCGATTTCTTTTTAAATATTTCCCCTTTCTTATGGCCCTCTATTTACTTATGAGCACCAGTCAAGGTAAAAGATAACTGTCAAATGAAGTTGTCATTTCAGAAAGTTACCTATTTAGTGCTTTATTATTATTGAAAACTCATTCCCACATCGGAAATATTAAAGATGTATTTATAAATACAAATTAATGTGAATTAAAGTAAAATAAAGTAATCAATTACAAGGTTAATTATAGTATTATTACAATATTCAATAACTTATTATTAATTTAGGTACTATTAAATTGTTAGAACATTAGGATTTAAGAAGATGTTCAAATATTCCTCCATCGACTGCTAGACAATAACCCAGGCGATCATAAAATTCTCTTCTTACATTCGCTAGTTGGTAAACTGAAATTCTATTGTATTCGGCAGAAATAGCATTTTTTAAACTCGTCTAGATTTGGGTATTTTTTATCCTTGTATATCCTGTTTTTTAAATGGCCCTAGAGAAAGAATCATTTGGCGAAATATCAGGAGACCTTGCTGGCCAATTTACTGAATGATTTAAGCCAATAACGTTTCCGTTAAAACTATTGTCTAAATATTCCCGAACAGCCAGGGTACTATGTGCCGGGCAGCCATCCATTTGGTACCAAACTTCCTGATTTTCCCTAGCGGCATCATGTAAAGCAGGTAAAATATGATTTTCGAGTAGTTCCAAATAATATTCTGCATTTAAATTTCGCGTAAGAAATAATGGACCGATAATATTGTGTCCGAATATCCCTGCCCAAACATTTACTTTCTGTGGATATTGCGTCCTTGTTTCGACTAACCTGTGTTGGTTTTCTTTGTTCCAATATCGGTAATTTTGAACATTGGGTTCATTATTTAAGGTAAACGTGCATTCGTCAGTGAAACATATGTTTTTTAAAAATTCCCTATTCGTGCTCTTTCCATCATATCAAAACAAAACGCCTGCCGCCGTATTTCGTCCCCATCTCGTAGCTCTTGGTGCTTTTCATATTTGAAGGAATAGTATTTATGTCGTTTCAAAATTCGAAACGCTGTAGTGTGATCTATTCCTATTTCATCCTCAAGTTTCCTTGTGCTGATCTCTCCATCGTTCTCTTCCACGCACAGTAAAACTTCCAAGTCGGTATCATTTCTTGCATCTTCTCTTTGTTTCTGCCTTGCTTCACATCTGCAGCTATTTATTAGGGTACCTTTTTGGTCTCAAATCTCTGGATATTCCTTGCGATTGTAGATTTTCCAGGTATCGGTCTATTCGGATACCGAGCAGCAAACATGTCCGATACCTTTTGATAACTATTTCCTTGATAATAACATTTAATCATCAATACTTTTTCTTCGGTAGTGTAATTCATGGCTAATATTTTCGATGTAGTTATGAGTTTTTAATAATAATAATAAAGCACTAAATAGATAAATTTCTGAAATGACAACTTCATTTGACAGTTATCTTTTACCTTGACTGGTGCTCATAAGTAAATACAGGGCCATAAGAAAGGAGAAATATTTAAAACGAAATCGGCGATAACTCGTAAACGGGCCAATCAAAAATATCTAAAGTTATTCTTTTGAATGTGGGTTTTAGTGCTCTTCAATAAACCTAAATAGAATTATTCTCTAAAATAATTAGGGAAGTCAATAATTGACCCCATTAAAATTTACATGGGATTTCCTATGTCCCGCTCGACGATGCAACACCCGGTATACGCTTTGTTTACATTTTACTTGTACATGTTGGATCAAAACAAACCAATGTATATGGTTAATGGTTAATCTATTCTTTTATGATGTCTCTGTCTCGAAACAAATGACGCAATGTCAAAAATAAACATGCGGTAAACACGCAGGTATTTTCAATCGTAAAATAAACTCACCGGCACGAAAAACGGGCACTTTAAATATTTGACGTATTAAGTTTTATACCTTTCTGGTCATCGAAACTACGTAGTCTGGATTTTAACGTGCAAGACAGTGATGTAGACAGCTTAAATGACAAATCAAATGTATTAAAAAGAGATAAAAGTTAGGTTGATACATTTTTTCTATGCTGTATTGCCGGATTTTGCATTCAAAGTTAAAACTTTATTTTGCACAATTAGTTACTAATTTTACTACAGATTCTTAAACAACTGTCTAACAGAAATGAACATTATTGAATAGCTTAGTTTTATGGCTTTATTATTTTATTTCTCGTACGAACCGGCAATACTGTATGCCGCTTTTTATTTTCTCTCTCTGTCTGTCCCCTGCTTGTGTATATTCATCTCTGTCGTATGCAGGACAGACAACGGAAATAAAATGACCAGGGCTAGTATATTGTGTTCTAAGAGACCGATTTTGATGATTTTATAAGCGATTTGTAGCTAAATTATTTGAATGTTTAGTAACTCTTTCTAAATTCAAAATGAAAGTCATCTGTCAATTATAGGAGGCGAAACAAAATGTTCATATCAATCAAGGAATTTGTTGAATATTCGCTTTGTTTGGTTTTCTTTATCTGTTTGTGATAAATGTATATAGTAAATGTAGAGTTTTGGTTAAATAGGAAAATGAATCTACATAACCCAGCAAACTAAACTAATATTACCGAAATTGCGCCTTACATGTATAGAGGCAACACTGCCTAACCTTGTCATAACTTGGCCGTGTTATCTGTCAAAATAAGTATGCTCGGTTGTCTAAATTCGTCCGCAAATTTTGTTCTTGAAAATTACTTATTGGAATTGGTATTTTTGTGGGTACTTATGGCAAGTTAGGTAGTAGATTAAATTTAGAGAAAGAAAAAGACAAAAAAATCCAGTGGTTCTCAAAATTTAAAAAAAAATATATATTTTTCTAATTTTCAAAGAAAAATAACTCGGTTATTTTGGACTGATTTGAAAAACGGTAAAGGGATATAAGAATTAAGAATATATTTATTTAAGACTCATCCTGGCACAATCATTGTTTACTCTAAATTATTTATAATATTAAAAAGAAAACAAATCTATAGAATATGTACTCATCAAAAAAGTTTAATGCAAAATAATTCCGATTATGCATTCAAATACCTAGCGTCATGTAACAACGCTTGCATTATTTAATAGATCGATGGCAGTCAACAAATACTACGTACTACTAAAACAACGAAATATATTATTATAAACACGAATGTTTTCGTTATAAATTATTAACAATTATTACGACCGGCTTTAGAGCATTAACCTAGCAGCACACTGACACACACAATCATTAACTTTTATTACAATACAAACAATATTTGCCAATATGCTTACTCTTAATTTGTCCATTACGAGTTTATATATTTGTAATAAAAGCATTTAATCGTTTTTAAAATATTATGTTGCGTTAATTTTATGATTTATTTTTGAATTTAAATTCTACAATATATTTCTCATTTTTTTTTATAAGAATATTAACAAAATGTGTGTTAAATAAATTGAAATAATAACTATTTATACGGAACGATTAACAATGATTGAAATACTGTACGATCGATGATAGATCGATTCATAGCTATCGCTGACGCCGTTTTTTTTTCGATTATATTGTAGTTCGCAATACTTTCTTTGATACTGATGCTAAAATAAATTAAATTATTAATCACTTTTTCTACATATTTTCCTGTATATTTTAGAGATTTTTAAAGCCACAGGTTCATCAGAAAATTTCTTTGGTGGCATACAAGGGCACGCAACGTTGCCAGTTAGTGCGAAATTGTACCTCGCTAAATGCAATAACATAATTGAAAAAAATTGCCAAAAAAGTAAAAAAACTACTACTTTTGCTAAATAAACCCAAAATTGGGTTTATGATGAAAATCGAATATACAAATCATTAATGTACAACAAAAATTCACAGAATATTTTCAAAATAATTCAGGTAAATTTGGCAACACAGGTAGTCAATTTAATCTAGAAAAAGAAACAAGAATTAATGAGTGGCTCTCAAAATGTTCTCAATTTTTAACTATCAAAATCTCAGCCCCCTTGATCATAAAACTTCAATCGTGGGTTATATTGTTTATTAAATATAAAAAAATAGCTATCATTTTTATACAAAAATAAAGTAAACCCTCAGTGAGTAGAAACAGGATAGAAATATAAAATAGTTTAATTTTTAATGATTTATCTACAAAGTCTCGACAACTATGAAACAGCCTTGAAAATACTTAAGATAACTTACTGTATTTAGAAGTTTTAAATAAAAATTAATAGTTAAATACAAACAACAGTAAAAAATGATCAGATATATATTTTAGCTAGAAAAAGAACCACATCTACCTATATGTTTACATTTTTGAAACACCTTTCTATAAATCTGAAGGTCTCGGCGTTGAGCAACAATAAAACGTCGATATTTGACAAAATAATACAATTTCGTCTGCATAGTCGTAATGTATTAAATTACGAAAATCTTTACATATGGAATTGGTAACAAGACCTCTTCGATATAAAAATAAACGGGTCAAAAAAAGTCCGTGTTTCTATACGGCCGAGAGACGCCTACACGAACTGCATCAGAACGCTTAAAAATAGAAATCAAGTCACATTGGCAAACAAAAATCGAAACAGTAGCAAACCGTAGGTAACTAGATGTTAAGAAAGAGACACAGAGTCGAAAATACTGGGGGAAAGCTCTATTTAGTGAAGAAAGTAGAAGATGGCGAGTTCTAGAGACAAAGAAATCGTAAAATTCGAGGTTAGTACGTGGAATTTTCTGATAAAAACTGATGGATAAACGTGAAATAAATAGAAATCAAACTGAAAGACTTACACACAAATATGGACGCTACGGAATCAACGAGTAGAACTTGTTCCAGGGCGGGAGGGGGCCGTCGAAACTTGGCTCGCGAACAACACACAAGTCATTATCTAATGCGCACTTTATTTACCTGCCGCGGTCGCAGTTTAAACTAATCCACACGGAGTCGGTGTATTTTATCACACTGAACTAATGAGAATACTAAATATCACAATTTTATTAAACGATTTGGCGTTAAAATACTTGGATTTGCGGCCACCGCAGAGATTTGTTTATCGATCCGCAATTACGTGGCAATGTTGGCAGCGCTTCTCTCGTCACTTCGACGACACGCCGCAGTTCCAAGTGTTCGGTGTCGGACCGCGTCGGCCGTTTACGGGATTGGAAAGCGTGCGGCGGAAACAAGTTTTAATGGTGTTCGAGGGGCGACGTTGCCGGAACGAGCCCCGATAATTTCCAGGAGAATAATTTATTCAATATGCTAAGTAGTGTCGGCGGTAGTTTTCCTTTGTTTACACTTGTAGCGGTCACTTAAGAGCTGCTCTGCGGACCATGGAAGGTTCTATGATGGAGGGAGGATATTAAGGAGACAAACCTAAGTGACGAATGATGTCGTTCATAGGTCCAAAACACTTTTGCGGTGCTCCAGAAGTAGTTACGAGAATGATCACAAAACAGTACATGGTCAACAAATCTCTAAAATGGCAGAGGCAGTGGAAAAAGTAGAACATTGGCCAAAATTTACAGCAGACCTAAGAAGCAAAGACATGGAGACCGAAAATACTGTAGTGGGTTTACTAACAGAACATTCCAAGCTCAAGAAGCATCTAAGGCTGATGCGATAAGTTGACGGGCAGATTTTAGATAAGAAGAAACGACAGAACGCATTTCGTACCACTGCAACAGCTTGACAAATGTGCAGTTCTTTGTATGAGGCAGGGTTCTTTGAATAAACCTTCACAAAGAGTAATATGGAGGGTTCAGTCACGTTCAGTCTCCAAGATATTAAAATTTTTGAAAAGGATACCTACGACTGGAGAAAGATAACAACCGATAGACAATAGATCTACCACCTCATAAAATCTATCTATCTATTTTCTATGTACCATAGAAGACATTACGGAAATGTTTTTTTTTGTGAGGAACACCTAGGACAATGAAAATTCACAATGAAGAATTCCTTAATGATCTTCACTCCTCTTTGATGTTAGACATCATGTATAATAACACTGGGGCCTAAGTAAGGCAAATTGATTAAACTCTTATTGAATATAGCTGCCCTCAAGGACTAGCATCTTGTGAGTACGGGTGTCTTAGGTGAGACTCGTTATCTTTTATTTCTATCAAGCTGCCTTGATCAATTCATGTTTTCTTCCAATCTTCCAGAAACAGAAGAAAACAGAAGATATATGGACAACTACGAGGATCGCCCGACCTCACCATGTATATGACGACATTCATAAAATAACATCTGTGCAAATTGTTTTTAGAAAGATCCAGAATAACTTATTCGATATGCAAAGATATGTCTACCGTAGTTTTACATTTGTAGAGATCACTTAAAAGCTACTCAGAGGACCATGAAATGCTCTATGATGATGGAAGAATATTAGGAGACAAACCAATGTTCCGAAAGTCGATGAAATAATAGGCTTCCTTAAAATGTATTAGCACTGGAAGCCCGTGTAAAGAAAAAAGAAGTGGACTAAATTAATATTGAACATATTTTTTCCCGGGGATTTATATCCTCACTCAAGCCCGAGATACAATTTTTTCATAATTTGCAATTGTCTTGAGTGATCCCTTATCTTTTGTATCTATCGATCTGCCTTAATCAATTCATGTTTTCTTCCAATCTTCCTATCTTCTCTTCGACCCAAAAAGGCCCTTATGAATGGTCTCCCACTGGAAATCCACTCAACACAATATGGGGAAACTCTTCAGCGTATTAAATAGCATACAACTCAGAAACAATAAAAACATATTTTCTGACGAGAAATTTTTCTTTCTCAAAGATCGTCATCATTTCTCCATTTCACACCTTTGCATTTACCAAAACCCAAAATTGAAGAAAATTATAGTTGGAACTGTTAAAAAAATTGCCAAAAAACACCTACTTTTGCTAAATAAACCCAAAATTGGGTTTATGATAAAAATCTAATATACAAATCATTAATTTACAACAAAATTCATAGATTATCTTTAAAATAATTCATGTCAATGTGGCAACACAGGTAGTCAATTTAATTTAGAAAAAGAAACAACAATTAAGAGTGGCTCTCAAAATGTTCTCAATTTTTAACTATCAAAATCTCAGCCCCCTTGATCATAAAACTTCAATCGTAGCTTAAAAGGTTGTTTAAATATAAAAAAATAGTTATTATTTTTATACAAAAATAAAGTAAAGCCTCAGTGAGTAGAAACAGGATAGAAATACAAAATAATTTAATTTTTAGTGATTTATCTACAAAGCCTCGACAACCTATGAAACAGCCTTGAAAATACTTAAGATAACTTATTGTATTTAGAAGTTTTCTTCCAATCTTCCTATCTTCTCTTCAAACCAAGAAGGCCCTTGTGAATGGTCTCCCACTGGAAACTCAACACAATATACATGGGGAAACTCTCTCTTCAGTGCATTCAATAGCATACAACTTAGAAACAATAGAAACATATTTTCTGACGAGAAATTTTTCTTTCTCAAAAACCGTCATCATTTCTCCATGCACCATCTCACACCTTTATATTTACCAAAAGCCAAAATTGAAGAAACTTTCAGTTGGATGTGTTAAAAAAATTCAGATTTAGTTCCTAGTCTCCAGCGATTTATTTTCACTCCCCGGACTGAAAGTTGCAGTTAATAAGACAAAGTATTTTGTCAAACGAGGAAGTGATATCTCCATAAACAACTATTTTGCTGACAAAGACGTCAAATCTGTAATTCCGGAGATATCTATGTAAAAAAATTAAAAATAACTTTTGAAAAATGTTTTGTATGAAAACTCTCGAAAAAAAATAACGAAAACCAACTGTACGATCCTCGTATACTTTATAACAACTACTTTACACAATATTGTTATCATAGAGGTATCAAATTACTAGTAAGTTAGCTACATACACTGCAATTTCAAACACATACTTGTACGTACAACTTACATTTTTATAATGTTAAATTTGATTAGACGTTTTACAAAAGTACATACAATTTAGATTACATTGTTTATTTAAATGTAGAAAAACGTTATCTAGTAGGCACTGAGTAATAGTTTTTAGAATTGTTCTATTTCATAATTATCCAAAAAATATTATGAAACAGAATAATGTAATATGTATTTTCAAAACAAAAACAAACAAGATCTAAAACCAATAAAGGTTTGTCGATTTTTTCCGCTTAAAAATTTAACAAAATAAAATTAAAAATTGTCTATTAAACTATTTGTCTATTATCATCAGAAGAGTCACCCGGTAACACACAGGAGAATTCATGGCGTAGGCATTGCAATCAAAAACGAAATCGCCACCAAATTAACAGAGGTACCTATTGGTGTCTCCGAACGTCTTATGACCCTAAGGTACAGGTGCCCCATATCAGACAAAACTTACGTCAACATCATAAGTGCCTACGCTCCTACCCTAGACGCTAAAATTGAGGATAAGGATAAATTTTACCAAGCTCTGCAAAATATACTCCAACAAATTCCAAAGCACGAACGAATCATTTTGCTAGGTGACTTTAATGCCCGTGTCAGCAAACAACAGGAAATATGGCCTGATGTATTGGGAAAACATGGAATTGGAAATGTAAATAGCAATGGTGAACGCGTATTAACAACATGCACAGAGTATAATCTTTGCATCACCAATATGTGGTTCATGCTGAAGGGCAAATTTAAAGGTACCTGAAAACATCCGAGATCAGGCCATTGGCACCAATTGGACCACGTAATCGTTCGAAGGACGCACCTAAAAGATGTCAGTCTCACAAAAGCCAGAGTAGATGCCGAATGCGGCACTGACCACCGACTTTTAATCTCAAAAATAAAAATCCAGTTAAAACCCAAACATCCACACTGTAAAAAGCAAAGCTACATGACCAGATTGAACGTACGGGGTCTAGAGAACAACGATACCGCCGCACGGTGGCGCGAGGGATAGGGACTTGCGGCCAAAAAGCGGAAAACTATTTAATTAATTCTATTGGTTAAAATTAAAATATTTATTGGTATAATAAATGAAAAATAGAAATTTTTAAACAATTTTGAATTTTTATGGATAACATGAACTGATATTGCGTATTATATTTGAAAGTCAGAACTGTGAATTTTGCAATATCGAACCTAACATGTGAATACAAGACATATATGGAGAATTAATTATTGCAAATTAGGGCTTTTGTTTTTGTTGGGTTTTGTTGATGGCTTCTGTCAAAGGTCACATTGATTTAAAGCGATTTCTACTTCACTGCGTAATCTAAAAATTGAAAAAACAAAATTATTTTTAAAAACCCTAAAAAGTTAAACTGATTTTTGACATTATTGTTCCAAATTATGTAATAATTTCTTCATTGCCCGTACTCTGTGATTTATGTAGGTTATTTTTATTTTTATATACCTAGTGTGTTAAAATTATTAGCAATATAAAATTAGCAGTTTGCAAAAATTCAGATATATCATAATTATTTGCTAGGGGATTTTTAAAAGCGCATAAAATGTTTTTTTATCAATAATTAAAACCGAAAGGCAACAATGCAAAAAAAAATTAAAAATATATAGGGCTTACAATACTCTACAGGATTCCTATAAAATCAAAAGTTCTTTGGCTTCTTGGTCCAACTCCATATGTTTACTTTGTTTAAATTTGTGACGTAAAGTTGCCAAATACGGATCAGACGAAATAAGAAGAGAGTGCAGAACATCTTCATTCGTTGCAGTTCTTGAGCATTTCCTACTACTGTCCTTTCGAAATATCTTGAAGTATTTATTTTTTGCTTCCGCGGCTTCTTCACTAAGCTGGCCGATTGGTAAAGTCGCTGATTGAATTATGGCAGCACCATGAATCAAAACTTTGTGTAAAGATGAAGGCATATAATACCAACTGTATTGATAAACATAAAGTTCAGCAGTTTCGTAGCAAAATTTTTTAAATTTCTCTTCGTCAATAGGATGTTCGCTCACCAAAACTTGCAAAATAACAGACATTTTTTGAATAAGGTCCTTACTAACTCCAGTTATGTCCGAAACAACGTCAATATCTCGAAAAAATCTTCTAGCAGTATTGCCATCGTTTGAACTGCCTACTCCTTGCCGCGGTACATCAACTATAATACCAAGCTTTTCTTTTAGTTCATTTTGGATTCTCTTT